AAATGGTGGTATCTACAAGACTCAGTTTTTCCCCATTTAAAATTACATTAATATTTAATTGTTTGACATTTGGAGTAACGAATTTCATACATTTTATTTTAGTGCCATTTAAATGCAAATTATTAACATTGAACCAATTTACTAATTTAGATATAGCATTATTTACTTCGTCATATTTTAGAAATTGTCGACTTAATTTGAAAATTAAAGAAGTGTCATCTGCAAATATCACTATATCATGGTTATCCCCTACTATGTAAGGTAAGTCATTAATGTATACAAGAAACAGAAAGGGGCCGAGAATTGAGCCTTGAGGCACGCCCATTTGTACCATCGACCCGGAAAAACTCATACTGTGAATGACAACTTTTTGCGTTCTCTTACTTAAATATGAAATAATTAATTTAAGAGCATCACTTCTTACACCTTTTTGTTTATGTGTGTTACTTTTGTTTTTTTAATAACTTTTTTCTGCGTGAACCGATTTCGATAATTATTTGAAAACTAGTACTTCTCATGTGGCCCCATATAAATTTGATCAAGGTCTGACCAATAGTTTTGAGTTATCCTTAATATATTTCAGTCGGTTATACAATTTTTTTTATTTTTTATTATTATTCTCTAACGAGATGGATAAAGGTGCCTATATGCAGTAGGTGCATAGCATCTGGTGAACTATGAGGTCGTTTGTCACCTTAAATAATAAAGAAAGTTATGTTTATGTAAGAAACATGAGAAGGTGGTGTATGTCTTTTTGTATGCTTCCAACATGGTAGAGTCATGTTGCAGCTATATTAGTAGTATAGTTGTAGCACGAATGGGTCGGCTCGACCGGGGTAGGACCACGCTCTCACAGAATACCAGCGGAAAATAGCAGCTTAACACTGCTGTGTTTCGTTTAGTGAGTGTAGAGAACCGGAGACCCTTTTTACTGGAAAAGAGGCATTCCATCTTAGTCCTAACGCGTGACCACGCATCTGCATTTTGATTCGCAAACGAGGATAAATGTAGATGTCTATGGGCCAGAGCAACCACTTACCATCAGGTGGACTGTGTGCTCGTTTGTCACACTATCGTATAAAAAAAACACAGTAATATTCTTGATGAAATAAGAATAAAATTTGAATAACCAGTCTCTGTCTTCAATGTAAGTTTTATATTTTTGTTGTATACGATATTTGTTTGTGTAAAATAATTGTTTATTATTATATATAATATGTATATTAACAATTATTGTATACGCTATAATGTGTGTGTAGTTGTACTAAGTTAAAATGCCTCGTTACTTGTAAAAAGCGTCTCCGGTTCTCTCCACTCAAGACCATGAACTTAGTACATGACACAGCAACATTAGGCTACTATTTCACGCTGGTGGTGCTTTTCCGTTCGAGCCGACTCATTCGTGCTGCAATCATGATATAACTGCAACACGTACATGTATTATTTCAGACTTAGAACCGTAATATGCCCACTGCATTTTATAACATTGACAGTAGCGGGATCCTTCTTAAGCAACTACCATAACAAGTTAATAAAGTCAATTCATAAACCTAAAATTAGTAGGATCTAATTGTCTTGGACGGTAGGTGCTTTGTTGTAAATGTACGCATCTATACTTCCTAAATCTATTCTCGTATTAATTTGGTAATTGATTCTAAACTAACTTCCCGATGAACTAATGATTTGAAATTTTAAATAGCTCAGAATTTTAATATTTTTTTAAAATATAATTTTTAAAATTTTTTTTTGTTTTGTTGGAGTTTGCCTTATAGATTGGATTATAGGATTTTTTTTGCTTTGTCCTTTCCAGTAGGTTGATGTTTTCTGCTTCCTATTCACTCTATTTTTTTACAATATAAATATAAAATTAATTTATGACTGGACCATAACGCTATCAGGTTCAGTATTTGTGGTTTTTTATTATAGATACTAAACAAATATGTAGTGTGAATGTGAGTAATTTTGGTCCATAAATAAATACGGTATTTTTAATAAATTACATTTAGATATTAATAGAGCATTACCTTTCGGATTTTAGCTAGGAGCCATATTGTTGTGTACAAGTTGTTGAGTTAACAGACGCACCATCAACATTTAAGTAAAATATGGTTTAATCAAGAAAAAACCTCATGACGAGATTCGGGAGTTTTCTTTGCGATTCCTGTCAGAGTTAAACTACATAAAGTTAAATATAATATTATAACTAAGGATTGACAGGCAACAGTAAATATCGTGGAACCTACACCATTATAAATCCATTCAGTGACCTACTGCAACATACTAAATAGAACATCAATGTGAGACCGAACCCGGCAATTGACTTCAATAATCCACTTCACGCATATGACAATGTGCATATTTTAAGGTACACACACGTCCGTATTTTGTGAAGATAATAAAATCTTCATAACTATATACAAAGGAACGCATTATTATCCCCTTTCTCTCTCTATTTTTAACGAGTTCAATGTAAATTCAAGAAAAACAACTTCCTTCTGCGTGAATCCCATATCTCTGGTGCCCTTTGACCTACAGGGCCCAAATTCAAACTCGACCGAGCTACTACCTCAAGGTATCCACATACCAAATTTAAAGTCTATCGGTCCAGTGGAACGGAAGTTATCGTGTCGGCATACAGACTAACAGACTGCCAGCTAAAACCATTAACTTCCTTTCAATGCTACGCAGAAGGAAGTTAATAAGCGGCCACACCGGCTTCGACTGAGTAGGATCTATTAATGTGGCGTTTTATGGATTTATGGTAATCGTCATAACTTATCAATTTATATCTCTTTCTGGTTCTGATTCTGGTTTCACAAAAAATATATCTAAATTTTTGTGACTAAATACAGCCTAGGCTTTTTATTTATTCATCAAGTTTCAATACTAGGTTCGGCCGATCCGAAGATTAGTCCGGTTAGACAAACAGACAGATAGACAAAAAAATTAAACATGGTTATCTTAGTGTAAACACCAACTGTGTTAACCTATATTCGCAATAATCGTTTTGAATTTAGTGTCACGCAAATAACCCCGTCAGTCCGCAATGAACTCCGAAACCACTCATCCATTTTTAATTAAATTTTGTAAAAGTGTATTGTTTGTTCCAACTTGAGTGAAAGGATAGTTTTATCCCGATAAATGAGTGACCCTCTATATTTTATATTGCAAATTTAAAGACTATTTTATGGACAAAGCGTCGTAGGAAAGGGCAGAACAAAGTCTGCCTGACCAGATAGCTGTTTGATATTTTTTAGTTGTTTGAAGTCTAGTGTTATGTTTTGTAAGTATTTTTTACGTACTAGAGTAGACTTATGAATATCACTGCATTAATGTCGTCAAAATAGTTACATTAAAAACTATATCCCCCCATTTTGCCATCCTCACGCCAGATTTTTTACGTGGTAGAGCCATGCTGCAGCTATATTAATAGTATAGTTGTAGCAGGAATGGGTCAGCTCGACCGGGGAAGGACCACGCTCTCACAGAATACCAGCGTAAAATAGCAGCTTAATGCAGCTGTGTTTCGTATGGTGAGTGTAGAGAACCGGAAATACATTTAACTGGAAAATAGGCATTCTATCTTAGTCCTCACGACTGACAACGCATCTGCATTTTAATTTATTTCTCTAGCCATTAATTCTCGTGGTGTCACAGTCACTTTCACTTAAAGTGATAGAGATAGCACGATATTTAACAGCGTCTTAAAATTGAGTGGTGTTTGATGATTTGGGCATTAGAGATGGAGTTTTTTCTCCAAATAAGATATAGCTATAAACTAGGTAATATAGGTATTAGGTACTACAGAGGTAAAAACAAGAACTATCAAAATCGGTTCACTATTAACAAAGATGTTGCGTAACATGCGTGCAAAAATACGTAAATTATAAACCACCTACAGTTTTTTTGAAGTCGGCTGATAGCAATTATAAAGAGCTTAAATTGGCACACAAAAGATGAAAGAATTAAGTGCATTTTAATGGGTGTTATAATTAAATTAATAAGACTGACATTATTTTTAATGATCTACTCATTAAACCATTAATACATCTCTTCACAACTGAACACAGGCCTCCCCTAACAAACGTCACAAAGCACGGTCTTGGAGCACCTGCATCCATCGACTTCCTGTACACCGCCCCATACTTCGCTTACATACTTGTATTATAAATAATCAAAATATATAAAAAATTATATAAAAATATACGTATGTACACGTACATTTAGATATAGTACGTACTTATAACCACAATAAAGTAACATTCTCAGCACGGTCCTTTATATAGTAAGGGATATTTTAAGTGAGAAAAATGAGCTTCAGATTCTTCGTGTATGCGAGGAGAGAGTTTAAACTTTTTTTAAGTTACGAGACTTCAAGATAGAAATTATTTGTTTGTATAAGGACGGTAATGTGCCCGTAATTGCTCTAATGTTGTGAATGTCTAGCGTAGAGATGGATCTCTTTTTCTATGGCTTCCCACTAACCAACTTTTCAAAAGAGGCACGAGTTTCAAAGAAGTATAGTAAACATAATAATGTCCTCAAGTCCGAATTTCAGTCACGGCGGCTAGCCTCAATAGAGACTAGCTATTTGTGCAGGGTACGGTTATAGTTCACACTATAATATACTCGTGCAAACACAGGTACACTCTCTTTTCCCTCCTTCCTATAGTCCGATGAGATGGCAATCCGTCACGACTGGAGAGAGATCAGGCGCAGCACCAACTGCTTTACGTACTTTTCGAGGCACGGGAAGTGAACACCTCGAACTTTCTGATTCCGTGTACTACTACTGAGAATTCCTTGATATTTCAACCCAATAACTGACCCAAGATTTGAAACCACGTCGTTATAGCCAGTAGTCACGATAACGATTACTAGACCAACCGGATAGTCAAAGACATTAAGGGCGTTACCTTAACAATTCAGTTATGCGCCGAGAAATACATAAATTACACTAAGATGAACATCAAATAACCCTGTCATTAAAATATACTTACATCGTATCTCTTTTGTACGTCTTAATCCAGATATAAACCCACTGGTATCTATCCCCTGTCATTAGATAGACTGCTGTAATTGCCAAGAGGCCAACTATTATCGGGTAGCCGTAAGCCAACCATGACAGTACGGCGATAATAACGCCTATACTCGTCAAAATAGTAAGCTTCTGTTCCTCTGCTTCCTTAAAACGCACTTCTGTCTTTGCTGACATACTTCCACGCCTAATCTTGCTGTTGCATTGTGTTAAGGAGAATCTGAAACAAAAAAAACGTTATAGTAAAGTTAAGTCAATTCCGCACCATAAGACTTTTTTTACCTTAAAATTACAGCCCATTTACGTCCCACGACTGCGCACATACCTCCTCCAATTTCTAAGAAGTTTTTAAATATAGGTAGGTAGTATTCGCCGCACGGCTTAAAAATGCGCGTTGGTAGATTCAACATGTCTTAGATACGTTTACGCGGGAGAGCTATCTTGTAGCTATATTATGGTTTTAGCACGTAATAAATACGGCGTTACATTCATAGGGGGGGTATTTGCCATATAGCTCGAAGAACCGACAACCGATGGGGAAGAAAGGTTCTCGAGTGGCAGCCTCGTACCGGTAGGCGAAGTGTAGGGCGTCCCCCCACGAGATGGAGTGACGACCTGGTAAGACATGCAGGAAGTCGATGGATGCAGGTGGCTCAGGACCGTGCTTTGTGGCATTCTTTGGGGGAGGCCTATGTTCAGCAGTGGACTTGTGAAGGGCTGTAATGATGATGATGAAATACGGCGTTATGGGTCGGCCCGACTGATGTAGGACCACGGTCTAACAGAATACGAGCCTAAAATAGCAACATTACGTGCTTCGTATGGTGAGTGTAGAGAACCGGAGATCCATTTTACTGGACACGGGGCGTTCAATCTTAGTCTTCAGAGGTGACAACGCATCTGCATTTTGATTCTTAATCGAGGATAGCTGTAGATGTCTATATACGGTATATACTATAGGTTTGACTTTGTATGTATCTATGTATTATTGTATAAAAATTTTATACCTAATTCAGTTTTCGTATAAATAAATAATTTAATTTTTTATTATTTTATTTGAAAAACAAACATTTTATTGCTCATGCTAAATGGTTCTTGTTTAACTTTTGGTAATATTAATTACTTTTTATATTCCTATGACACTACATGTTTGTCGTGATAGAGCCACGATACAGCTAATATGATTATTGAAGCACGAATGGGTCGGCTCGACCGGGGAAGGACCACGCTCTCACAGAATACCTCGTAAAATAGCAGCTCAATGCTGCTGTGTTTCATGTGGTGAGTGTAGAGTAATGGAGACCCTTTTTGTTGCTAACGGAACATCCTATCTTAACCCTCAAGGGTAAAAATTCATCTACGTTTTATTTCTTAATCGAGCATAGACGTGGCTGTATGAGGGCCACAGAATGTATACTTTTTATATATAATATAATACTTTTTCTACGTGGTAGAGCCATGCTGCAGATATATTATGGTTGTAGCACGAATGGGTCGGCTCGAACGGGGAAGGACCACGCTCTCACAGAAAACCAGCGTAAAATAGCAGCTTAACGCTGCTGTGTTTCGTATGGTGAGTATAGAGAAACGGAGACCCGTTTTACTGGCAAAGAAGCATTCCATCTTAGTCCTCATGGGTGACAACGCATCTGCATCTGGAGTCTTTATTGAGGATAGATGTAGATGTCTATGGTCACCACATACCATCAGGTGGACTGTGTGCTCGTTTGTCACCCGATCCTATAAATAAAAATACTTATACATAGTAGATTAATCGTGTAGAAGGCACTGTTATAATATCCAATAGCTCGTATTGTCCCGTGCGTGTCATAAAAGGCGACAGAGGAAAATAAACCAGGTGATGGGCAGCAGCGTCTTCCTAATAACTACTAAAACTATAAAATTGAGGTTGTCAACCTGACACTATGGCAAATATTCTCCTAGGAAATCTATCTTTAATTTATAGATTGGCTGTAACGGTAACGGTAAATAGTAGGTGTTAATGGCAATGAATAAAAACACAAGAAAAACAAAATCGCGCAAAATATAAGCGCAATAAGCCGCTCTTAATATTCCACTGATAAGCGAATGTCGAGGTCTACGACTGATAACAGAAACAGCAAACGTATCACATGAGAAACGTTTACAGTGATTCACCAGATTGTTTTAATATATTTTAAAACTAGTGACGTGACCCGACCCTGCTTCGTGTGAGTAGCATCTAATAATGTTGCGATATTTAGATTGAAGATAATCAAAGACCATCTATTAATGTTTCGTATTTGCAAAAAAATCTGCAAGTTTTTCAAATAAAATATAGCTTAGATGACTTTTGGAATTGCTCTCATCAATTTTCATTAGAATTGGTTTAGCCCACATAAGGCAATATTTAGATTTATAGCATTCTACGTGGTAGAGCCATGCTGCAGCTATAATTAGTATAGTTGTAGCACGAATGGGTCGGCCCGACTGGGGAAGGACCACGCTCTCACAGAATACCAACGTAAAATAGCAGCTTAACGCTGCTGTGTTTTGTATGGTGAGCGTAGAGAACCGGAGACCCTTTTTACTGGAAACGAGGCATTCCATCTTAGTCCTCACGGGTGACAACGCATCTGAATTTTGATTCGTAATCGAAGATAGATGTAGATGTCTATGGGCCACAGTAACCACTTACCATCAGGTAGACTGTGTGCTCGTTTGTCACCCTTATCCTATATAAAAAATATGTGGTTTAGCCATTCCGAAGATCAGACTAGACGGTCAGATAGACAGACACAATTTTAAAAATGGTTATTCATGTCTTTCTGGTGCAAGTAATCCCCTCAGCTCAATATAAGGCAATTAATTCAATGCTAGCTATTCCTCGCGACTTTGCCCGCGCGTAATTTATTGGGATTGGATTTCATGGGTTTTTAATTTTTTTGTGCGGAACTCCAATTATTTTTCGAAAATAAAAGTAGCCTAAGTTACTTCTTTTAACATCAGCTATCTGTCAGTGAAAGTCCGGTCAAAATCGGTCCAGCCGTTTCCCAGATTAGCCGGAACAAACAGACAGACAGACATAGATACAGACAGACAGACAGAGAGACAGACAGACAAAAATTTTAAAAATCGTGTTTTTGTTATAAGTACCGTATATACTTTTGTATGCATTTATATTAAAGAGCTGTTAATTCGACATTACAAACAGACACTTTATTTTATCTATTTATATAGATTACAGACAAAAGCTTTAAGTTTATTTATATGTAGAGAAAATTACAATAATTAATTTAGGGCAACTGAAAAATTTATTTTACTTTATTTTATAACATGTACTTTGCTAATAGCAAGCCTAAGCCTAAAGTAAAGTGTGATGCGTTTTGAAGAGCGCATAGCGCAGCGTAATCAGCGTGTGTTCAAGCAGCTGCCACTCAAGAGATTCAGATAAGGGATTAAGCTCGTTATCGATGCTTGTCTCAGTTCCTACACTCAGGCTGGTATTAAGAGATAATTTTGAGTTTAAACTCAATCTTCCTTACCGTCATCCTTACCGTTATTGCATATCAAGAGTTCACTGCTGAATTTGCCTATATTCCCCCATAGATTGCCTTATTTTTATTTTTTAGTTGTTATTAAGGATGTGGCCGTGAAAGGAAAAGTAGAGATCTCCCGCCGGGCAAGGTGTTCTGCCCGGGGAGCGGCCAATACTCCGAGTGGTAGTTCGGATATATACTGCTTTAACTTCGGAACTTTGTTAGCGCGATTTAGGCTTCGATTTATTTCGCTTGTGGCGCAACGACACCGCCGCCACAAGGAGACGCTGCTGCCATTTTTGTTTGTTTCTCTTTGAAGCCTTTTATGACACACACGGGATAATATGGCGTAGTAGATTCTTACACCGCCACTACCTACAGAATCAAATTCAATATAACTCTACACCGTTAAACTTAATCTTCATCATCATCGTCATCATTACAGCCCTTCAGAAGTCCACTGTTGAACATAGGCGTCTCTCTTAACACTGTCAAAATTTCTGTAACACAGTATGCTCTTAACTTAAACTAACATAGTAGAGTTCGAGTACAAATCATCATATAATTAATGCAAATGAAGGCTTTTTGGGTTAATTCCACATATAATTTTTTTATAGATTAAGCGTGACAAACGAGTACACAGTCTACCTGATGGTAAGTGGATGCTGTGGCCCATAAACATCTACATTTATGCTCGACTAAGAATAAAGAAGCAGATGTGTGTTCACCACTGAGAACTAAGATGGATTGCCGCGTTTCCAGTAAAAAGGTATCTAATTTATAGCTGTAAATACTAGATAGGTGCTTTCGCTTTTGATAACCAAGTTAACAGAAAACATAGTCATCTCTTTATACCGCATACATTTACTTCTAGCCTTGAAAAATCTAATACATTCAAGCTGAATCAACCGCAATGGGCTGCTATATTTGTAGCCCTCTAATAACCCGAAACTCAAATAAAAATATACGTTAGTTTGCCGCGTCATTTGTCAAATTCAAAAGTTGGTGCCGTAAGTGGCCCTTGTTAAGTATAATCACAACTGACATATTATCATTTTGTTTATCCTAAAACTGTTGTTGGATTACGATAGAACAATAGAGATTTCTTCACTATAAGATGCGACACGATCGACGTAATAACTATAATAATATCCTCCAGACCAAATATAGGTCACGACGGCCAGTCGCAACGGAGACTAGCCATCTGCGCAGGACAGGGTTATAGTCCAGGAGCGTGTACATAGGCAGGTACGCAGGACGGTAGTCCAACACGACCGGAGAAAGATCAAGCACTGGACCAACGGCTTTACGCGCTTTCCGAGGCACGGGAGTGGAATACCGCCATCTGACTGACAGCCTGCTACAGGGAATTTATTCACAGAAAAACCCAATAAATGATTTAGGCCCAACCCGGGTTTCGAACTCAGGACCTCATAATCAGCAACCGCGTTTACGACCATAGATATACGAGGCCTATAGAATGAGAATCAGAATCAGAATTTTTATTTGCGTAAGAACATGGTGTTAAAGGTGGTACATGTTAAAAAGGTGCACATGTATCGCTAAAAAGAATAAAATAAACTTTTCCTTTAAAACTTTTACTATCAACTTATAACGTCATTACACAATTTATATGATATAAAAGCTTGTCGCGAGATTTAAGTTTCTACTCATTTCTACTTACTCGTATTTACTTAGTTTG